AAGCCCAGCCGCCTTGAGCAGCTGTGGAAATTATGCCTACATGGATCCGTATCGGTTTATGTAGGACTTTGAAATGCAAAGCCCCTCATCTCTGGGCTAGGAACAAAGAAGACAAACTGCAGCGCTGAGTCACGTCGGAAAAAAAAGTGCTGTGAAGTCACGTGCCATAAACGGGAAGTGAGCCACAACTCTAGCGAGGATAGCCTCAGCCTTAATTCAGCTTGCTTTCTGAGTGAAACGGGTTTGCGCCGTTCGATTTTCAAGGAGGAATGCACGTGGGCATCACTTTTAGCCCCCTGTATTGGGCAAGACAATCTTGTAGTCCAAGGCAGGGAGGACATAAAGGCAAGCTAACGCATTCAGCACATGGGCGCTTCAAGCCTTGACGAGCATCCTCGCCCACCGCCCCAACCCCAGCACCTCAAGCCGGGAGCGCAAGAGCGCATGCGTAGCGGGTCGCCCGCTTTTCCGTGTCACGCGCTTGCGCATTGGTAGCCGTGCCCGGGCAAGAGCGATAGTCGCGTTCGGCAAAAGATGGTTGGCTGGCGCGCCGATATAAGGTCTTCTCTATGAAGCCGGAAGCGCGTCAGCAAGCGCGGAAGAGAGCGCGAGGAGCCGGAGCAGCCGTTCGCTTTCGGCGTCGAGGGAAGAGGACCGGGATGTCGGTGCCCGCCGCGTGCGCTCTGTCGCGGCAAGGGCAGTCAGAACCGCGGGTCAAGGCGGTGCGCGGGGACAGTCGGGAGAGCGAGGAAGACGAAGAACAGTCGGAGCCGCGGAGGTGGGATGGAGAAGCGGTATTAGGGAAAGACCGGTGCGAGCGGGACTCGCTGCAGCAATTGGCGACCACGAAGGCGGACGGAAAAGAGGAGGAGAAGCTGGAAAGGGAGCACTTCCGGAGAATTATCAACGCCTTCCGTTACTATGGGTAACCGATTCCCTCCCCACTTATTCTGATAGCCTTCAGCCCATACCTATGTAGAGCATAGGAGCCCTGCCTCTGAACCCCCCCATTCATAGCGGAATCTACCTATGGAGAGCCAAGGGGGCTTGATGATCAAGGGGCTGGGAACACCCAGTTCAAGCCCATACTCAGCCATGGAAACTCATTGAGAGACTTGGGGCCAGTCACTTTCTTTCAGCCCAGTCTGCCTCACAATCAACCTTGAGCTCTAGGAGAAAAGGTGGGATATACATTTAATACATATTTACTCAGAAATTGGCCCTACTGAGTACAGTGGGACTTACTCTCAAGTAAGTAAGATGCAATCTGTTGTGATCCAGATGCCTTGGAGTGTAACTCTTAGGATTCCCATTGATCTTGGCCTTTGTGGGTGGGAATTATAAGAGGTCTAGCTTGGAAGCATTTTGGAATGCTGTTGTAGGGCATATCTATTCCATAAGCCATGAAATGAAGTGTTATCTCCTGTTTAAGAGAATTATTATGGTAAATTTAGATAACTGATTAAATTGCAGAGGCATCACACTGACAGTAAATGTATGCATTGTCAAGGCCATGGTTTTCCCAGTTGAAAACTGGATCATCAAAAAGTCTGAATGAAGAAAAATTGACCTCTCTGAGTTGTACCACTGGAAAAATGGTTGAGAATGTCTTGGACTACAAGAAGAACAAATTATTTAATATTAGAGAAAGTAAAACTGGACTACTTGTGGAAGCACTGATAAAAAAATCTAAAATTTAAAAACTCTGGACACATAATGTGAAGGCAAGAGTCACTAGAGAATATCCTGATGCTTGGAAATATCAAAGCAATTAAAAAGGAGGCCAAAAGAAGATAGAAAGGCTAGATAATAACACTGATCATTTGTGCATGAGTTTCCAAGAACTTAAAAATGCTGTTACTGGCAGATAAACCTGGTGAAATAAGGTACATTGGGTCATGAAGAGTCAGAAGTGACTGAACAACAACAAACACCACAAGCTAAGGATTCCTGGCAATAAGACCTACTATATATAGTGAGGTTCTGAGTAGGTGTGCACAGGATTGTTTAAATGCTTATGTTTTCACTACTGTTTCCAGAATCATAGAAAGTGCAATTGAAGGTACCAGTGTCAATTACACAGCATGTAAAGTTTTGTAAATTATCACTTCCAAATTCAGTGCCATGTCCATACTCATTGATTTAGTATTTTAGTTTGAGGTTGGACTTTGGAGGACAAATTTCAACAGGACCCCCTTTTCAGCACTTTTTAGCTAGTAGCCAATTGTGTCTGCGAAGGTAATGGAACTGCCAGATCTGCAGATCACCCCAGTATAGATCAGGCCTTATGTGCTTGTTTAACTGTTTTTTAAATAAAAGCGTTATGTTTGTTAATTGCATTTCTACAGTGGCCAGTAACCACATCTCTCTGGGCAGTTCTCTGCCTAAGATTTAAACTGTAAAACGCATTGTGTCTATTTGTTAAAACAATTTGAAAGAGCCACAGAATAAACCTAAAGCAAAACTACCGCAGAATGAAGTCAACAATACTGCAAAGGTTTTAAAATACATTTATCTTCTGCTTAGAGTTTTCTGAAAGAATATCTGTGTGCTATTTTGCAAAGTGTACAAATCTAATTGGCTACTGGTGACAAGCATATGCATTGCTCATTACTTAAACTTTCTTCTAAAACAGCATGATCCAATTAAAATGAAACACATTTGGTATTCTTAATATAGATTTTAGAATATTGTTACATCTAGCACTAAAATTCATGGGATCTTAAATTGTTAATTTTGACAGGATTCTAACCATATGTTTACTCTTAGTTACTGGCATGTTGACTTCGGGGTGAAATGATATCTGTTCTGATAAATCTATGTATGTGATTAAAAACTGATTCCAAATGGGAATCCACTGAAAATTTACAAGACTGATATCAAGAGAACTTTGTTTTATTCATTGTTTCTGATATTCATTTTTTTAAAATTTCTAGAATTAATATGCATGAAAGAGTGAATCGTGCAGAAAGACAATTTAGATCCCTTCCAGCTATGCAACAGAAATTGTTACCTCAGTTTCTCCCTCACCTTGACAAGATTCGAAAATGTGTTGACCACAATCAAGGGATCTTGCAGTCAATTGTGAATGACTGTACCCGCATGTTTGAAAATAAAGAATATGGTGGTGATGTATGTTTAACATCTTATTTTTAAAGAGCTATTCTTTTGTTGCATTCAACTTATTTAAATTTTTTAATATATAATTTCTATAAGGTATGTAATTATAACTATTACAAGTCAGGTAACAAGCTGCTGCTTGTTCTCAGCTTATAAATAATTGATCTGTCTATATTCATTATATTTATATAGCTGCTCATCTCACTGAGTGTGACTCTGGGTGGCATACAATAAAAAACAAAACAATAGTAAAAAAAATGTAACCATGTTTATATAATATGTATATAATATGCAAACTTATAATAAAGTGTAATATGTTTGAGATTAATAATTAAGACTTTTATTACAAAATGATACAAGACTTTAGTGTCATTTTGTGTAAATAAAAAGTTGTTTTCAAAGAATCAAATATTTTTTCTTTAGCAATTTACAGATTAGCTTTTACACATGGGAATAGTTTTCATATTGCTTGTACTAAATTAAGAAAATTCTAGGAAAATTGATAAAGCTTCTCTCAGATTTTACAAATGAAATATAATTCTATTCCATTCTAGTAAAACATGATTCTCTCTCATTAGTGATATGGAGGAATGCTTCCACAAATAGAAGATATATAATTTATATTTCAACAAAAGCTATACCCATCCCTTCAAATTTGATCTTGAATGTGACATTCAGACTTTTGAAATAAAAATCATTACATCTTTTCAGTTCTAGTCTGGTTGTTTGCTTGAAGCTGATCCTTATTTTCCACAGGTGACCACTATTTATAATCTTTAGTTTATCCCTATGTCATGGGGTATATTGAAGGCTTTGACTGAACAAGATAGTACAAAACAGTATTCCAGTTTTTATTTTTCCTTTTACATTTAAACTACTGATAAAGACAACAATAGTGGTTCCTTTCTTTAGCCTTAAACTTTGCAAATGTGATTTACAGGCTCTAATTGCTCTTCATATCAGCATGAATCGTTTCTGTCCCCTCTTCAGATAAGATAATGTTTCAGAAGTACAAGTGATATAATTTTTTTAACACCCACTTTCAGCTCTAGTCAACTAAGCATGGATATGTATGCTGATAATTGTACAGGTTTAACATGTGTGCTCTATTCTAATTCAACCCCTATTTAATTCTAGAATTAAGAAAGAACGGGGTATTAGTATTTTTTCCAAATTTTCTCTCAGGCAGACCTACTGGTCTTGATCTAACTAGAGATGCTTTGACTAGTAAAACTTTTCATCTCTTTCTTTCCCATCATTCTGAATCCCAGTGTGGATCCTATTTAAAGAGTAAATAAGATCCTGTGCCAGTCCTCTGCCTCTTTAGCACTCTGAATTCTCCTGGATCACTTAATGGACTTTAGATGATTCATGACCTAATGAACTTCCAGTAGCACAATTACTGCCTAATTCATTTTAGGATCACCAGCCCTTTTTCACTGGTTTTAAACTAACAGTTTGTCTTCAACAGAACTAAGTACACGTTCACCATTTTAGTTGCCAGCCATCACCTCCATTTCTAAGCTTCTTCTCAGTCTTCCTGTGACTTCCCCCTTTGCTATTCCATATTTGTCACCCATCTTTCTAAATATAAACTACTGTAATACCTACTCTCAGCTTCTTATCAACAAAGCAAGTATTGACTTATATTTGGGTATCTACAGGGATGAATGGATATGTGGAGCACTAGTGAGAAACTGTTGCTGAGGAAAGGCTCATCACACAACTTTTATTCTGAGTAATGAATGCCCATTTTTTGTTGTATTGCATATATTGTATGACAGTATCACATAACGTTTATTAATATGTTAAGAGTTGATTTAGGTTATCCATTTTAATTCATTCAGGTTCCAGTTATTAGCCCTAAATTTTTATATTAACCAAGATGTTATGCTAATGTATCAGATTAATCTGTAGCTAACTTTTTTTTTTAATTAGGGAAATGGAAAGATTACACCAGCTTCAACTTTTGACATGGATAAATTAAAATCCACTCTGAAACAATTTGTAAGAGATTGGAGTGAAACTGGGAAACCTGAGAGAGATTCTTGCTATCAGCCTATCATTAATGAAATTGTAAAGAACTTTCCAAAAGACAGATGGTAAATACCTTTTTAAAATATTTATTTAAAGAGACGATATGCACAACAATGTACTCATGGTGAAGGTCTACTTAAATGTTATTGGAACTGATCTTTGAAAATTTGTTTAGATCATAAGGAAAAATTATCATGAATTTTAGCTATCTTTTTTAAATGGCTTTGCTTAAAATGTTATGGTTATTACTGAACAGATCAGCAAAGGGGCTAAAATTTATAGTTGCAGGGATAACATAGCACTTAATTCTGATAAGCTAACTCTTTGTATTAGCTGTAGCAGCATTTTATCATTTCGAAGTATATGTTGAGAAGACCAAAGGTGATTTGGCTGTATCTTCCTTTTGATTTTTTTAAGCGCCAGAGATGAAAGGAATGAAAAGACTCTCTGGTACCACAGTTCTTTTGTGAAGCCTAATAAACATATTTTATCTCAGGCAGAGAGCAAATAAACCATTGGAAGGTAATAGTATCTTTTTATTGGTCATTGATCAGCGTAGCATAACATTCAAGAAGGTACTTATAGAGTCAGTATCTCTAATTAATCATACAGGGAATAAAGCCACAATAAAGAAGAGGTGGAAAGAAATTCTACAATCAAAATCAGAAAAAAAAAATTACATACACTCATTGTATAGTCAGCGTATGGAGCTAAAAGACCTAACATATTCAAACATTTGGTTATTCAAGATTCTTTATATAATGGATATAGCATGGCAGTCTCGACCCACAGTCTAATGTTTCCCTTGTCCGTGTTGAAAGAATTCAGTTGATAACTATGGTGGGCTAATGTGAAAAATGAAGTCTTTTTTAATCTCACTTTAACACAGCTTGTAATTGCTACTGCATTACTGAAGAAAAAAAAAGGTAAAAAGCTCATTCATAATATAACATGAATACCCTTCCCTTGTTAGATTCAAGGCATTCAAGAATGTCTTCAAATATAGAAAAAACTTACGGTAAGTTTTTATATATTTCAATAAAAGGGCTTGACTTTCTCAAGAATCCCCACTTCCTCACCTAGCTTGGTGGAAAAAATATGTGTGTGAATTTTTAACTGTGTAGGAATACTAATAAATGTTAAGAATTAGCATTTTTCTTGTTTTTTTCCTTCTTTTGAAATATAATATTCTTTTTTTCCCAGTATTTTCCTTCTGTATACAGGTAGTTCTCACTTAACGACCACAATAGGGACCAGAAAATTTGTCATTAAGTGGGGCAGTTGTTAAGTGAGGCATCACATGACTGCACCCGATCTTATGTCATTTTTTGCAGTGGTCGTTAAGCAAATTGCATGCTCATTAAGCAAATCACATAGTTCCCCATTGATTTTTCTGGCTGGAAGCCAGCTGGGAAGGTCGCAAATGGCGATCACATGACTGGGATGCTGCAACTGTTGTAAGTGCGAGCTGGTTGCCAAGCACCTGGATCGCAATCACATGACTGTGGGGGTGTTGTGACGGTCGTAAGGGTGAGGACCAGTTATAAGTACCTTTTAGCTCTGTTGTAACTTTGAACGGTCGCTAAATGAATGGTCGTTAAGCAAGGACTACCTGTAGTAAGTTATTTTTTTACTAGGTAGTGGCATCTATGCTAGGGGAAATGTGGGTCATCTGTGATCCACCTTGAAGTATTTTGCCATGTAAGAGACACATTCCACCTCAGCAAAGTTATAGTGTTCCCAGTCCAATTCAGTTAAGCACTGTTGTACTAAAAGTGGCTGCTGCTCTGCACAGTAAAAGTAAAGGATAACAATGTTACATCTGTAAGAACCAGAAAAAACAGACATTCTGTGTGGACATTCAAATGTAATGTGGCTTATTTTTTTGGAAAGTTAAGGAATAAATTGTCATTCCTTAGTGTACATATTGAAGCAATACATTAATAAATAAAAACATCCCAGAATGTTCTGAATGTTTACTCCTTTTTTGAACACTATCAAGACACTCTAGTCAGGTGAATATTTCTTAAATAATACAAATTAATGGTAAATAGCGTGGTTAGGGTTGGACAAGTAAAATATACCATTTACTTTTTAATTAATTTAAATCTCTATAGCAAGTAAAATGATAGAATCTTGTGACTTATAAAAGTTAACATTTATTTCACATTTATTTATTACTTTTCATTGGAAGTAATAAAAGAATCAAATTATATTTTTAATGGGAAGAATGAGCTTGCTTAGTTTTGCAAAATTCTTGATGTGGGTTTTATTTTTGAGAAAGCTAATTTCACTTTTTGTGTCTCATTTATTTTGAATCAAGAGTTACTCTTTATAGAAACAGTTATAAAAAATCCTGACAGTTGTCCAGGCAGAATGAGCCCCCCCAAATTTATAACCCCCTGAGATTTCTTTGTGCTCCACATTTTGAAAATCCCTTTCTTAAAGAGTTTGGCTAGTCTAAACAAGCGTAATCATTTGTTCAATCGGAAAAAAATTCTGAGTTTTCAAGTATATACAGATAGTCCTCGACTTACGAACACAATTGGGACCGGAATTTCTGTCACTAAACAATGCAGTCATAAAGCGAGACATCACATGACCACATCGCTTAGCGATGGCAGTCCAGTTGCTGTCATTAACAGAATCGTGGGTCATTAAGCAAGTACCTGCCCCAATCCAAGCCATTCCAGGCTTGGTCCTTTCTAGTCCCGAGCCTCAGTAAGGTAAGGGACAACCTCCAACTCCCCCCACCTGCCTGTTTCCCCCCATCTCTGCTCTTTTTGGCCGCACTGCACCCTGCTTTGCTGCACGGCTCTGGGGCTGCTTGCCACACCCCAGGAAGCCGCAGCCACCCCAACCCAGTCCCAGTCCCCCCTGCACTCAGAGACCTTTGCCACTGCAGCTAACCTTCACCATCTTCTTGCTCCTGGTACTGATGAATTGTGCCTGGCCTGGCTGCTAAGCTGGGACTGCCCCAGCCTGGTCCAGGAGTACGGTGCAAAGGGACTTTTTGGTATGCCACAGCTCTGGGGCTGCTTTTTACTTTTTTTTTTTTTCACAG